AAGATTACCTCGAACGAGTTAATCCTGGGAAAAAACGGCAAGGGTAAAAGAGTTAGCCATTCAGCGGACTGCGAGCACCCTCGACGAATAAACTTTTCAGCAGACCTCCCCGGGATATGCATGCATGTAAGCGCGCTCGGGCACGCACCGCGTCGGAACAATGGGAAACAAAATAGCGGGACCCCTTTCGTTTCGCGCCTCTCTACGTTCCTGTCGGTGGGATACGACTCGTACGTTATTATGCGGATTATTATGCGCATTATTATGTAGAACAGAAGGAAGACATTGAAGCGCGACGTGAAAGGCCGCAACGAGAGCGGCGACGAACGGCCAGGCTCGAACGCGTCGTGCCATTATTAATCGGTAATTAGCGGCTCAGTCGACGATCTCCGCTCTAACTGTATAATTAAGCCTTCTCACGGGTAACCGGCAATCTCTGCCGGCTGCAAACTTTCACGGTGGTATGCCAGTCGTCCAAATTGCAGTGATCTTGCTCCGCGTGGTATGCTCCACACGGGTGCGCGCTCGGTTAGCCAGGTAATCGATCACAGGTCGCATGCCAATCACGTAACTGTGACAAAGTTGCGATCGATTCCGTGAATGTCGAGGTGAACCTATCTAGACGTACGTACTATACACGTGCAGAATACTCTTACTCTTTGACCGTCGTCGGGTCCATCGCGACTGACCTAATCGAATAACCGAATCATCGACAGGACGATTGATCAACGAATTGACACCGGTTAGGGGAGCCGGAGAAAGTAGCCGTATCGTTCTCTCCGTCTCTCTATCATAGCTAATAAATCTTAGCCGTGTAATAACAAGCCTCACCCTATCTATTAATCGCTCGATTCTCCAAAGCCTCCTCGCCAGTTTAGCCGGCTATTCTGCGCTCGTTGGTCTAACAAGCGGCCAAGTCATCCGGGTAGAACCGGCTCGTGCCTCGAGCAGAGTTCGCTTCAACTTCGACCGCGAATAGTTTACAACTAGCGTCGTCGGACTTTCCTGCAACGAGAAATCCGCCAGCGATCCAGGCAGCGATCGGCAGATCGACGTTTCAGCGTTCACCCTGTACGCTCATTCGCTATTCGCCTAGCGTGCGCGCGAACACACCTCTAACCGGAGAGCTATGCGAGGAGGTAGGCAAATTTCTGCCAACGAGGAAGATCGTCGCCAAGGAATCCGACGATTACGTGCCTCAACGATGGAAACAGCTCCACCACGCGAATAATCCAGCGACTTCGGCCTGGCCAGGGTGACTGCACTTGCCAATGCAATCAATGCGAGCGAACGCACGCGTTAAGCGACCGGCATTGTTGCGCCATTCTTCCCGACAGGTTATTCTCGTATTATCCCTGTATTATCGAGCCTTATTACAGGGGTATTACGCTAAAGTCAGCCATTCCACTGGATCGGCCTGCGTCCACGGCTTATTGCCAGAACGGTACCACGGTCATCACGGAGATCATCACGGTGAGCGATAGAACGATCATCGCGACGATTTTGCAATCTGCGCGACCAAGCACCCTTGATAGCCTCGATCGCTCGAGATTGATCACTCTCGCGTTCAGGGCTAGAGTTCCTTGACATTCGAGCAAATTCCAGCGTAGCTGTCGTAGGTCATCCGCTCTCATTGGACACTGACAGGACGAATGTTGAACAGCGTGACGATCATCGCGACAATTTTGAAACGTGGATGAATTCCCAATGTTGGAAGAAGAAAACAACCATCCATCGTACACAAATGATAGCCAATCGGAGGTTATTAGACAATCAGTAGTCAGTCGTGATAGGACCACTGTGTCGTTAACATTCAAATAAATGTAGGAATTGCGAGAGTGAGAGTATACGCGAAGTTTGGAAGAGAGTTGTTGAAAATAAGATACGTCTTAACGTATCGAATGAACAAAAATTAATCTCTCAGGAAGATTAAATTCCTTTTTCTTCACTCTAGCTTTGACTCTCTACGCGAACAGTCAGAATACTTGAGATATACCTTCCTCAGGAGAGAATAAAGATAATTATAAAATAACGATAGTTATTTCTTTCTACCCATAATCCCAGTAAGAGTCGAGTCAGTGATAGTTCGAAGAGTTGACGTGCGAGTCTGGGTCGCGAAATTAGTTTAATCTTTTAGCTTGTATCTTTACTCTTAAGTCTCTTTCGCTCGTAAATAAAATATATTGGGTTAACGACATCCTTTATTCCGTATATTTGCCAATCAAAACATATCCCTAGATAAATTACCGAGCAATATACTTTTTCGTTACATATGTAGGAATCTTGGGCAGGCAACAGAATAAGCAGTGACGTAAATATGAAAATGACTTATTTTAAGCTAAAACTTATTAACTTATTCTACTCGCTAATAACTCTCGGCTGACTCTCACTCGTTATCTCTCAATAACTCTATGACTGACTTTAAAACACATTTTGATATATCTGACTCTAAACCACATACTCTTCCTGACTTTAAGACACGCTGCCTCTTCCGCATTCTTGCACTCTTATTTAAACCCTTGCATTCTGTCTTCTTTCATACCCACAAAATGTTTCTCAATCGGTAGGTCACATATCCTAAACACTCGGACGAATAAGCATTCGTAGACTTCCACTCGTTTATCACATTCTGCTCTGTCATAAACATCCCTTACATTCGACCCTCTTGCACGCGGTCACTTTCGTTCTAAGCTTAAACACTCTTGACATTCTTTCAGGACCGTACTTATTCCTTTCCTCCATATATATGTATATATATATACAATGTATTTAATCCCAACACCTAATAATTTCGATCCTTTGTGACTGATCAAACTAGGGCTCCGATATTGCTTTTATTGACTTTTCTTCGTCAATTTTCATCGATTATTGACAGTATGACGAGAGCTCTGACAGCCTCCGTCCAGTATCACTTTCGTTGACTCCAATTGAAAGGATGATCGGTATTGGCAAGATTTTGACAAAGTAGCATAAAGGACAAGAGATCCATGGTAGAGAGAGGGAGGGACGAGGCAGCAGTGGACGGATAAAATTATGAAAAATGAGCGTTGATGGGAGGAGGTGGCGGCAATAACAGGGTACAAGGCTGGGGCAAGTTCCTTGCTTATTTTTCATCTCGTGGACGTTCTCGCCGGGGCCCGTTCCTCGACGAGGCGTCGACATTTTATGCATTAAATTGCGATGTACCGCGGCGAGGGCTACCGATCGATCCGCGTCCGCTTGCTCTTTTTGCGATTCCTCGCCGCCTTTCGACGCTTTCCTTTCCGGCCCGCGGCTGCACCTCCACACGCCAACCTCATTAGCATTTTATGGCATGTATCACGGTGGGTCACGATGTTCCGCCGACTGTTTACAGCCTTCGCGCAGCCGCTCGGCCAAACCTCCCCTGTGTGGTCCGCGTGAAAATTACCTCGTTATATTTTCACGACCACTTTCCTTCTCCAAAAACTCACACTTGGTGTCTCTCACGCGTACAGCCCCGTTTCGTTAATATCTTTCCGACGAACGAGCGTTGGGTCAGACCTTCATTTGCTAGAGCAGAATAGACTCGTGGCTGTTTCATCCGCGTGGAAGGGTGAAAATGAGAGGACAGAGACGAGTTTAGCGAATTTTTTGGGGAAACGAGTACCATGCCACTCTACTCACGGTTGGTGTTATCTATGACGAAGATGGGGGAGTAATATAGTCACAGGTTAGAGGTGCAATTCGCGAATCTTCTGGCTAGCGGACCTCTCACCCCTGGATTGACACACGACTGAGTTCATCCGCGTGGAAGAGTGAAAACGCGAGGACAGAGACGAGTTTAGCGAATTTTTTGGGGAAACGAGTACCATGCCACTCTACTCGCGGTTGGTGTTATCTATGACGAAGATGGGGGAGTAATATAGTCACAGGTTAGAGGTGCAATTCGCGAATTTACTGGTTAGCGACCTCTCACCCCTGGATTGACACACGACTGACTTCATCCGCGTGGAAGAGTGAAAACGCGAGGACAGAGACGAGTTTAGCGAATTTTTTCGGGAAACGAGGATCGCGCTACCCTACTTGGGGTTGGTTTCATCTATGCAGAAGATCGGGGCGTAGTATAGTCAGAGGTTAGAGGTGCAATTCGCGAATTTACTGGTTAGCGACCTCTCACCCCTGGATTGACACATGACTGACTTCATCCGCGTGGAAGAGTGAAAACGCGAGGACAGAGACGAGTTTAGCGAATTTTTTCGGGAAACGAGGATCGCGCTACTCTACTCGGGGTTGGTTTTATCTATTCCAAAGATCGAAGGATAGTATAGTCGAAGAGTGGAAGTGCAATTCGCTAATCTTCTCTCTAGCATTCCTCTCGCCCCTGGATTGACACACGACTGACTTCATTTACGTGGAAGGGTGAAAACACGAGGACAGAGACGAATTTGGTAATTTTTTTTTTTGAGAAACGAGTATTACCCCATTCTATTCGCGGTTGGTATCACCTGTGCCGAAGATAGGAGGATTATATAGTCGAAAAGCGAAAGTGCAATTCGCGAATCTTCTCTCGCCCCAAGATTGACACACGATTGATTTCATTCGCGTGGAAAAGTGAAAACGCGAGGACAGCGACGAGTATGGAAAATTTTGTTGGGAAACAATTCTCACTCTACCCTATTCGTTGTTGTTTTCATCTATATCGAAGATCGGGAGCAATATAATAATATAGCAGAGGTGCAATTCGCGAATCTTCTCGCTAGCGAATCCTCACCTCCTCTCACCCCCGAATCGGCTCGCGGTTGATTTCACCCTCGCGGAAGGGTGCGCGACGCGAGGTCGCGGCAATAACAATTAAGAGTGGGCGTTCACGAGGGCGAAACGACATCGTTACAGAGAACGTGGCCGATTGTAAACGCCAGCCGAGCCGAGCGAAAATGTAAATGGTTTACCCCCTCGACGCTGACAATGCACCGTCCCTCTCGCGTTTCGCTCGATATAACCGTACATCCGTATCAGCTACGTGACTGCACATTACTTACGAATAACACCACGTTGTAGATGTGCAGAACGTATTTCAGGAAATTCACCGAGCAGCAGCCGTCGTCTCTGGTCCTCAGCCTGGTGGAGGTACCGGGTAGCCTCTCGGCGCTTTTAGCCATGATTGGTCGATTCGTTTCTTCGTCGTGTGTCTCCGTCGTGCTCGTGGTCGTCGTCGTCACCTCGTCACTGACTCTGCAAGCACGCGAAATTCCATCGGATTAAAGAATTTTCCTGGAACAGCCAGAGAATCGGGTCGTTTCTGGTCTAGATCTCGCTGCAACCGCGACGAAATCGCATTTCCTCGGAACACGAAGTCGGACTCTGCTCGAATCGCGAGTAAATCTATCTTCGAGCGTCCCTTCCGGTCCCTGGCGACCGGCCAGCGGACGCCACGCGTCCCTAGGGCTTCCGGCATGGCGGCCACGGCCACGAAGATTCGATAGAACCCGCTGCCACGTCGCTTAAGATATTCAACTTCCTGTTCGAGATCCCCAGAGTCGAGGCGATCTCCAGGAACGAATCACTCTCGATCGAATATCGAGTAGGTGGACCGTGCTCGAACAAGCTAGGGAAGGAAATGAGGTGACGTTAACGGAGGAACGGTCACCGAATCGAATGAAACGCGCGACGACGGATCTATGATCGCGGTACCGGAAGTAACTGCTTGACGGTTCAAAGGGAAGCCACGAGAGTTGGCACGAGCTCATCGACCACGTCCCTCTTTTACCCCTGCGAACAATCCATCCTTCGATCGGCCACTCCTCTCTCCCTCTTCCTTTTCCGTGTTTAACCTCGTCCTATACCATTTTTCCCGTCTCCGGTCGCGTGCGCGAAATCGGCCCGCGCTATCTTCTCCCGTCCTCGGGCCCCTTCCTCAAATTCCTCGCGCGTGTATTCCATTACCTCGCCTGTATCGATTCGATTGCCCTGCGCGATATCGAGAAACACCGGCCAGAGGCAGGAAAGCAGCTTCGATTAATTACGCGAACCATCGCCGGCATCGGAGCCTCCAATCTGTCGACGAAGCTCATTACAGGGCCCGCCGCGTAAAATCGGCGACGACTCGCTGGCCGGCGATAACGACCAGCCGAGAATTAATTAGAAACCGCACCGGTGGCCCGGTTATTTACTCGCGCTAATCGCGTTTCCGCAATTAGAGCCAGCCCGATGGAGAAACAATCGGCCAGCGAGCACTCGATCGACCCGCGGGGCCATTCTTCGCGGGGATTTCGGGTGAACCGAGCAGGGGACAAATGCCGGACTAACGAGGACAAACGAAGGCACGTGGGTCGAAGAAGACCGCGATGGTGCTCGGGGACCTAACCTAACTCGAGGAGAGGGCAGGACAGAAGAGAAACCGCGAAATTAAACGGGCGTGACCCGTCGGGTGGGACCTAACCTAACCCGCGGAGAGGGGAGGAAAGAAGAGAAACCGCGAAATTAAACGGGTGTGACCCGTCTCCACCGTGTGGGCGAAGTACTTTCGATCGCGAATAAAGGAGAGTTCCGAATGCCAATGAGATATTGTATTTTTTACAACTGTAGCGACCAACGTTCTCATCCTCGCCAATGGATGGATTCCTAATTGAAGGGGGCTCGAGGACTTTCTCGCAAGTCCCTACTAATCTTCGACTTCCCTTAACCCATTCGAGACCGATTGCACACCGGGTATGCAATTGATTTCCGAGGCTATAAGACCGGTGTGTGCAATAATAATAATGAGCATTTATCAGTTATTCTGAGTAAAGTAGTCGTCGAGATAAGACTTTTTTTGAATTAATAGTATCCGTGAAGTACAGAAAAATAAAATTTGGCATTGGTTTTGTTGCGTGCCAAAAAAAAAACAAAACATTTTGTTTCGATTTTCGAAATCTACATTTTTAGAAAATATCAATACAGGAACCCATATACCTAATTCCATTTTTCAAATCTATCACCAACAGCGATAGTATCGCCTTCTATTCATACCGCCTAAACGAAACTTATTATCTTAAGCCTGCGCAGGTATTATCTACGTATTATCTTAAGATAATAAGTTTTTTCTTTTCTTTGACCCATTTTTATCCGTGAATAATTAAGAAATTTATTTCCACCAATCTGTACCTCTTTACCCGAAACAACCGAGTAACGATTTTATATTATCTAACTATTTTTGGAATAAATGTATTTTTATTTTACCTTACATTGCACACATTGTGTCCTAATTCGCTTCTCGCAATAAAAATTTTCTGAGGAGCGAGCTGCACGCACGGTGTGCAATCATCTCATTTATGCGAATTCGCGATTTTCATAGTAAACAAGCTGTTTTTTTATTAAAAATGTACAATACAAAGAAAAAAAAATTTCGTTCGAAAAAAATCGTTAACTGTTTGAGTGCCGAAGAATTTTCTTGTATATATGTTAAAAGTGCGTAATAAAATGCGCAGTTATTTTCTCGGAAAAATAATAGAAACGGTTATAATTAACCCTAATTATTATATAAGAAGCAACTTTTACAAAAAGAAATATTTTGTTATTAAAGTATCCCTGTCTAAGGCGGGGCCTGCTAGAAGAAAGCCTCGCTGTCGAGTCCACTAGCAGGCCCGGGACGAAACGCACCCCTTCCTTGTCCTGTCATCCTTCTACCTGCTGTCCATGTCATAGAACAACGACCAAGGAGAGATACCAACAGGCCAGCACCATAGAAACACTATACTACCAGTAGGAACCACAAGAGCCTAGACCGACCAAAACAAAACAGGCCCAACATGATCACAACACAACCCTTCCTCGTTTTCTTTTATTCCTTTACGACGCCTAGTGGCTTCCCTGGTTTGACTTCCTCTTTAACCGTTTGAGTGCCAAGCGGCGCGATCGCGCTTCTTCTATTTTGTGTCCAAAAGTGCCAGCGCTCTGAGTTGCGAAGCTGACAATCAGCGCGCTCGGTTGGTGAACGCGGAATATGAGAAGCGCTATCGCGCCGCTCGGCATTTTTGGACACGGAATATGACAAGCGCTATCGCGCCGCTTGGCAAATATCGATTGGGAAACAATAATGACCCGTGGCACTCAAACGGTTAACATTCCCCGATTATCGTCACGTTTCCCGGTTATTTCGTTCGCGCATCGATCCCGGCTATTTTTTAACTTTGTTTCTATGCATTCCTCTCTTTTTCTCGCTTATTTTTGCTTTATTTTTCATTTCAACCCCGCCGGCCATTTTTCGATGAATCGCGAGCTGGCGCGTTTTATTTCGCGACAGAGCTGCATGCGGCCGATGTTATTCAGTTACGTTCACGTTATTCGACGTAATTCGTCGAGATACGCTGGAAATTTCGCGAATGATACACTTCTTGCGCTGTTACATCCGCGTCAGGGTAAGAAGAGAACCGGCAAAGTTTCCAGCAAGTATCGTTCGTTTCACGGACGTCCCGTGGTACAAAGCCGGGGAACAAAGGTACGGATCGCGGGATGACGTTGTAAACAACGCAGTTTTCCGGGAGGAAAAACGGAAAGCTCGGACAGATCACGGGGAGAAAATCCTGACGCGGAGAAAACCGGGATTTAGAACTTGTAACGCGGATTTCGAAACTTGGAAGTTTCAAAGAACGGGAAAAATCGTCGAAGATATAAATTGCGCGAAGTATAACTCTGTTGGAACCCGGATTTCGATATAAAATACGGGATCTAGCAACAAGGCTACGTTGGAAAAATACAAGTCGGTGGAGAGGAAAAATCTAGCCTTTCGCAAATTTTCTAGGTGCTTATATGCGAGAGGAGTCTTTATTTGGATGGCGTCACCCTGCAAAGGGTTAATGTAATGTAGCAGTGTACGAGGCATCGAAATCAAATAATTCTACAATTTTAGTATTATACAATTCTTTATTTACTGCTAAAAAAAGTATCGCCAGGTTTTTAGTAGGGAATCTTTGAATTCTTATTCTTCTCTAGCCAAAAAATCGTCGAGTGTAAAGGGTTAAGAAAGAACTGTAATCGATATATTCGCTCATATTCATCGTACCGCTGAAATTACTATAACCTGTGCACGTTATACTTAGGTACCCATTAAAGATCGGTAGTTCTAGTGTCAATAACCTTTGTACGAGAGTTTATCCCAAGAGAGAAGAATAGAAACGACGTTGTAACCCTTTGCGATGAGAAGGGAAGTAAAACGATTCGTGTCTGCATCGGTTCCGGTTCCGGAGCTTTATTTCGATAAATAATAATTTCAAAATCATGCGAGATATTTTATCCGAAATACCTCGTCTTCAGCGTACACGTAATCAACGTAATAACGTTGTCCGTATTTTCTTTCCTCCTTTTTGCGCGCAAATAATGGCACGTCTCAAATTAAAATTCAAACTCGCGATGCTTCGAAATATTTTTTAATAATATCGTAATAATAACGCGTTGCGATAATTAAAATTTATGCAAACTTCTGAATGCTCATCGATTTCTTCGCTGCTACTGTAAATTCACGTTTCAGACAATTCGTTGTTAACGAGAAATTTAACGATTTCATATTTGTATTAAAATGTTCATATTACGTTTTAGGTATAGAGTTCGCGTGTATACGCGATCAGAAAAATCGCGAAAAATGTGCCAAGTACACAGGGAGAGTTGGATGAGTAACGATTCGTTGGCTCTTAGTCACTAGAAGGACCTGGCTGATAAACGCAGACCAATTTCAGAGACCAAAAACAATTGACTCATTCCCACTTTCGCTAAGGACCAATGGTCATCTTCACCCTACCAAAAACTAACATTATATAAGCACCCACAAAATTTGCGAAAAGACAGTTTCAGTACGAATTTGCTATTTTAAAATGATCAGGGTCTCTAAAATAATAAGGATATTGTAAATTTATAAATATAAAAATTGATAAAATTAAAATAAATCCTAATAAATCTTGTTTTCAGTTCAGTCAGTTGCAGTTTTAGTTGCAGTTTTGTTTTCTCCTCTCCGCCGATTTGTATTTTTCCAACGTAGCCTTGTTGCTAGAACCCGTGTTGTACAGGTAGCCTTCCTACAACGCGGCATCCTATAACACGATTCATAAATTGCGGGAACCCTCCTTCAACACGAGATTCTATAACACGGTTTCGCTCTAATACGATAAGAAAATTGCTAAAACCTTTGTACAACACTGTACTTCTGTATGAGCAGTGACGTCGAAGAAATTTATTAAATTAAAATAATATTTTTGTTTTGT